AGTAAACTTTTGAAGTCTTCACCTGCCATTTTACCTATTTTAACGTTTGAATTCAGCAGTTAGGACTTACAATTGCCTTACTTTTTCATGTTTTGTGTTCAATTTGTACATCTATTTGTTTAGATACTGTGTTTTATTTGGATATTTTCTTATTGAGCAACTTACCATTGAGGTTTCAACCCCCTGGACACAGAGAGGAGAAAACAAACTGCTGTAACAGCAAACCATACATGATACAGAAGTATGTTTAAACAAATAATAGCCCACAAACACATCATCATAAAAGAGCAAATGGAAAACTACTACAGATTGCTATGAAGTTAATGAATGAGATAAAGGAAGGAAGCAGGAAAAGGTAAAAACAGAGGAACCTCAGGGTTAAAAAAAAGGAAAAAGAGGCATGGAGAACGCTGTGGTATGGGAGAGAGATGAAAAAGAGGTTAGAAAAATTAGAAAACAGGAGGCTGAAGCGATGGCTCAGTGGGTAAGAGTACTGACTGCTCTTGCAGAGGAGCCGGGCTTGATTCCCAGGGCCTACATGGCAGCTAAGAACCGTCCTTAACTCCAGTTCATGCGGGAATCCGATGCCCTCTTCTGACCTTTATGTATAACACAGGCACACTTACACACATGCAGGCAATACACTCATACTCATAAAATAAAAGTAATAGATAAGCTGGGCATGGTGGCGCACGCCTGTAATCCCAGCACTCGGGAGGCAGAGGCAGGTGGATCTCTGTGAGTTCAAGGCCAGCCTGGTCTACACAGTGAGTTCCAGGACAGACAGGCTGGGGCTACAGGGAGACCCTGTCTCAAAAAGACCAAAAAAAAAAAAGATAAAATATTAAAAAAAGAAAAATTAAAAAATAAAACCAAAAAGATTTTCCCCCAAATGAGAAAGCTCAAAAACATTAGATAGATCTGAGAATAAGAATTAAAAAACACCCCAAACCAACAAGATAAAGTCAAAATGCTAATAAAAATATAGTGGAAGGGGAGGGTTAATAAAAATTAAGGGTGGATGAGAAAGCCATATATAAATCTACCACTTTGTAACTAGACAATGTAATTTTAAGAGTTTGAGCAGAAGTACCCTGCAAGGGTAGATAATGCTGCTACCAGAAGTCATAGGTTTTTAAAAATGAAAACATAGTGCCAGGTGTAGGAGAGCTCCCTTTGAGTTGTTATCGAGGGAAGGCTCAGGGACTCCTGAAACAATATAGGCTGCTGTCATTGCTTGGTTGCCCACCAGAACTTGATGGTAAGACCTTATTGCTGAAGTCACCACACACTTTGGATATAGGATACAGGGAAAACAACCTGAAACTGAGCTGGAAGCTTCATCTCTGTTGATCAGTAGTCATAGTGCCAGAAGATGCTATCGTTGCTGAGGGAGAAAAATCATCAGTGTCATCCCTACCATGAACCTGCATGCTACAATACTGACCTGGCAAGATGTGCCAACTGGTGCAACAGTGGCATGACAGGTTTAGGGTAACCAATCACTTTCTGACTGAATTTGAGGCCTGATCCATTGGAGGGAATACATGCTTGGTACTATAAATCTGGTCAAAAGCCTGTAACTGGGGAGGTCATAGGCCCTATGGAGGTGGGAATCTACCTGTTGTTTTTTGAAATGGACATATAGACAAAACTACCTGTTGTGGTTTCAGTGAAGAATGTCCCTCATAAGCTCATGTATTTGAACACTTGGTCCCTCACTGGTGGTGCTGTTTGGGGAGGTTATGGAATCTTTAGGAGGTGGAGCCTTATTAGAGGGAATATGTTACTGGATATGGTTTTTGAGGATTTACATCCTCACTCCACTTCCTGTTTTCTTTCTCTACTTCCTGTGGATGAAAATGTAATCAGCCCTCTTCCTGTTCCTACCAGCATGCCATGACTTCCTTGCCATCATGGACTCCAGCCCTCTGGAACTGTAAGCACAAACAAACTCTTCCTTAAGTTGCTTTTGTTCATAGTATTTTATCACAGCAACAGAAAAGGAACTAATATACTGCCTTGTAAATATGTATACGTATATCCCTACACTAGTGCTGCTCTCAGCCTTGGGCTCCTTTTTGCAGTGGGTAGCAGTTAATGCAAAGACTCCTAACTGGTCAAAGTGCTAGGAATAAGTGATTGTGGAATGCTTAGCCCTAAACTGAACATCAATATCATTCCTTCCAAGGCTGAGAGAACACTGCTGAAGAACGGGTGGAAAGAATATAAGAGCCAGATGATGGGGAGGAGTGCTGGGAAACACTGTCTTCTGGACATGACATGGTCATTGTACTCATGGACACAGAGTAGCTGTGGATACCTGCACAAGACCTACGCAACATTCCATCATGGATGGTGGCAGTGGGGGTAGCTCATGAGGCTCCATCCCTTCCTGAAGAGCTATTGCCAGTTAATAGTTGCTAGGGCAGAGGGTGCCATTTTCATCAGTGGTAGAGCCATTAGCAAACTGCCCATGATGCAGTGATTAACCCGCTACCCACGCTCATATAAGCAACCCTCATTAAACTTACTGGGTTAAAAAAAAAAAAAAAAGACACAAAAGTAGGAGAGGACCAGTAGGAAAGAAGGGGGTCAGCAGGAGTATGGGGGGATAAAGAGGGTAATAGAAATGAATGTGATCACAATACATTGGATGTATGTATGAAGCTGTCAATTAAAATTAAAAAATGAATCTACTTAAGAAGTATTTTGTAAAAAAAAAAAAAGAGAACGTGAAGGCATAAAATGAGAAAAAAAAAAGGAAAAGAAAATGTTGACCAATAATGAATATACGTAAAAATTAGATGGGAAATAAAAATTTAATATTTTCATATTATAAAGGGAAATACTACTAAAAGTTTAATAAAAAGAAAAATATAGGGAGCACAAGGAGAAAATTATTTTAAAAGAGAAACAAGGTCAAGTGTTAGATCACCTTTTTTCTGGGTTTTGGAAAATTGGAAACTGCCAGTTGTAAGGGCAGATTGGATGTTCATGTGAACTTATGGACTCTTTCCTCTGACTTATGCTGGTGCTGAGTATGTACTGGACAAGTGTCTGATGTCTGTCAGAGCTGTTTTCACTTTAGAGCGTCCCCTCTTTGCATACCACAGGCCTCTGCTGGCCACACTGAGCTTTGCAGTCAGCGGACTGGGCAGGTTCTCCCACCTTTCTTCAGATTCCACTGTCGCTGGTCCCTAATGTTGTAGATGGGGTTTCTCCCCAGTGAGATGGGAGCAGGGAAAGCAATCACAGAATGAGATCTGTGCAGGGAGAGGATCCGCCTTTGCACTTTCCAACCCCCCTAAGTACTGCTCACCCTGTTGGAAGGATACAGTATTCTGCTGGAGTCTCCGAGTTCTCGGACTCTACAGCAGTGAACAGCAGCTAGGTGGCTCCAGAGGTTGATCCCCACATTGACCTCAGGCTCTGGGTTCACAAACACTAGGGTTCTTTTCAGTCTGTTCCTGGATGCTGAGGTGGGGCTACCTTTTCCTGTGCACTTCCTGCCTGAGCTGAGCCTCCTGCTGTCTGCACTTTTGGGTTTGTCAGCATCTGCCCCTCTGGTTCTCAACTGCCACTCGGGGCTGCCTCTCACCCTGAGGCTTTGGCAGGTTGACTTGAGTCTCCTTGACATGGCTCTTCCTTGTTCTCAGACGGTCAGGGTAGCTCAGTTTTAGAGTAGGTTCCCTCTCAAGATGGCACCTGGCCATTGCCCTCCAAGTCAGAGAGTGACAAATGGGATTCCTCTCTCCTGGTGACCAGTCACCAGAAGGATCACTGTCAAAATCTGCCACTGAATTTGAGGCTTCTGAGAGCTGTGGGCTTGTCCTGAAGGTAGGACTGTCAGTCTCTTTACCAGGGCTCCCTGGCTTGCCTCTTGGATGAGGCTTCTGGTACTTCTCCCCTTGACAGGGAGCCCTGTGGCTAGAACTGTGTTTTAACTTGGCTTACTTCTTGGTGTGTCACCCATCGTTTCTCCATACTTTTAAGTGTTCTAATACTACTTTTGTGAATTTCCACATCTTTGTCTTTTTCTCTTTGGAGCAGAGTCTGTGTTTTCTTTTCTGACTCTTCACTAGGTCACGTGGAGGCAGCTTCTACTCTGCCGTCTTACACGTTTCATTCCCAGCTTAATCCAAGGCACCATCATCTTCTCAAAGATCAGTGCAACAGCCTGAGCATGGTCCTCTTTCTCATCTTGCTCCCTGAAGACTATTCTTCCCAAAGCCCTGAGGGTGATTTTTCTAAACACCCCCAAATGTTTGACTTATGAGGCTCTACAAAAGGATCTGGTTGCTGCTTATTGGTTTAGTTTCATCTTTGCTCTAGTCAGTGGCCTTCTTCTGGGTTCTCTCTCAGATCTTTGTTTTTGCTACTTTCCAATCTAAAAGTTTCTTTCTCTAAAATCCTGCTGGCCTGGATCTTTATTAGGTCTCTACTGGCATCATTCTTTCAGGGAAGCTCTCATCTGAACTGGCAAGCTTCCATCTCTTATATTGCTGACTTTTTTTTTTTAAACATATCTGACTTTGTGTGTACATGCACAGGTGCACAAATACACACACACACACACACACATATTTTAGTGCTAGTCTTCCCTCTAGAAGGTTAGCTAAGTCACACAAAGGTACAGGTTTTGTCTGCCTCATCTGTCACTAACTTGTATTCTTAGAACTTAGTAACACTGTTAACATGTCTGCAAAAAATTTTTGACTAATGTAGTACAATTCATGTTTAATTAAACAAGGAAATCAGTAGGGTAAACAAACATTTGAAGTAAGTTTAACAGCTACTTATGATAGTTATAAGTATTGATAATTATTTTACTGACATTATCTATGACACTGAAGATAGTATAATTACCTGCAGGTAAAGATCACTGTCCCTACTCCAAATGCTCTTTTAATGTATAAGACAGGATACTAATGTAGAACACCACTGAACAGATAAGACACAACAGTAATTCAACATCCAGAGTTATACACTGTACTTACCAACCAAACTTGCTGTGCAAAATATCCGACCGCTTTTTTCCAGGATTTCATGGAATCTCAACTGACATGCTGCGATTGTCTCATAATCCGTGCTGTAAGCTTGGTGGAGTTCAAGTGTGATGGTGTTCTTCTGAATATATTGTAAAAAAAAGTCATTTACATGGACAAGATACTGAGATGTGAAGTTATATTCTGGGTGAAGACCTCGCACTATGGGAGTTGTCTGTAGTTCAAAATCATAGAAAGCATAGGTACAGAAAGTGACAGGCTCTTTCTCTCGAGATGCCTGCAAAACTTCAGAAGAAAAGGTGACTTTGTTGATAGTGATTTCAAACAGATTTTCTCCTCGTTCTAGGTGGATGGTTTCATCAAATTCATCAACAGAGTCATCTGGCATGATTTCTGGTTTAAATTTGTACTGTTTGGTGCCATAGGCAATATCCTTTAGTTGAGCTGCAAGAGAAGACAGAGTTTAGAGAGGTTAAAATATTGACATATAAGGATACAAACTGGCCTCTGAAGTGGTAGGATAAATGCTTTCAGTGAATAGTCTCACTCTTCACTATTATTTTCTACAAATACAGAAAAATACATAATTTGTTTTGACATCACTTATTTAACAAAATTACAACTTCAAAATATATGCAACTATAATTTGTCAGTTTAAAATTAAGAGAATAAAAATGAAAAACATTACAACTTTGGGCTGGAGAAATGGCTCAATGGTTAAGAGCAGTGGCTGTTTTTGTAGAGGACCTGGGTTCAAATCCCAGCACCCACATGTGGCTAACAACTATCCATAACTCTAGTTCTGGGGAATCCAACACACTCTTCTGTCCTCCATGGGCACTGCATGACACGGATATACATATATACATCCAGGCATGACTCTCATACACATAAAAATAATAAATAAAAAAATTAAAAAAAACATTACAAATTCAATTGCAACATAGCTTTAACCAGGGAAAAGGAAAAAGAAAGACGTCTTGGGCTGAAAGCTGAGGTTACCATGTGAATGCCAGCCACTCTTCTACCTCTGCTACGTTCATTATCCTCTCTCTGACAAAATTGATTCCTCTTTTTCCTAGATCATCTCTTGGGCTTAAGAAGACATATATGCTTCTACTTGGGGGGGGGGCAGGCATGACTATCATTTCCATTATGATAACTGTCTCGTGGTTGTACACATTGCCCTAATTATACTTCTACAACACTGCTTTTTAAGATATATATCATTTTACATACATATTTCCCCCTAGTGTGACACTCAAGTTTCCTGGAGGGAATAATGTATATACGTGTGTCCGACTTCTCAGGTAAGACACTCCTGCAAAGTATCTGCTTTACTTCTCTGTGGAGCTGCTCTTATGAAGGCCAGAGAAGTGAGCAGCTGATCTTTGGCATCAACACTGTCAGCCTTGTGTTATTCTTTCTTTCATTTGAGGCTAATGAACACTTTTTCATCAACCATCATTCTATCTTGACTTCCATGTCACGGATCTCCCTGTTTCTCTTATTTCTCTCTTTATTTCTCAGGGTTTTTTTCTTTCTCTACTTATTTTCTGGTTTTTAATTCTCTTGTTAGTCCACATATTCTCATTGGAGATCTTTATACACTTTTATAACTTCTGATGCTCTTAACAGACTGAAAGCTTCCATATTTGTGGTTTTAAAACTATTTATTCTAATGTGTATGAGTGTACTGCCTACGTGTATGTAAGTGCACTGTGTCATGCAATGCCTATGGAGGTCAGAAGGAGGATGTCAGATCCCCTGGAACTGGAGTTATGGACAGTTGTTAGCTACCATGTGGGTGCTGGGAACTGAACCCAGGTCCCCTGCAAGAGCAGCCAGTGCTATTAACTGCTAAGCTATCTCTCCAACCCTCCGTTATTTGTATTTTAAATTGAGATTTCTTCTGAAACTCCAGATCATATATTTGTTTTGTTTCTCCTTTATCTCCCAGGCATCTCAAAAGTACATCAAACTCAACATATCTAAACATAGAAGGTACCATAGTGTCCTCTTGCTGTTTTCGTACTTTGAATCTTAAGTGTCAGTATATTAGCATTTATTCAGCTGCCTGTTAGAAACCATACTGACAGGAGATTTCTTTTGGTTACTCACTCCTACCTTTCTATATGGAAAGCCTTTGATTAATTTTAAGGTAAACTGTAGGGGTTTGTCTGTCTGTCTGTGAGAGACAGAGAAAGAAAGAAAGAAAGAAAGAAAGAAAGGGAGAGAGAGAGGGAGAGAGAGAGAGAGAGAGAGAGAGAGAGAAAACAACCCCATATACCTTCTGTGTGAAGTCTTCTCTAAATCCTAAATCTTGTGGAAGGAACGGGCATTACACCATCACTGTTTCATTAATACTTGCTATAGTATGAATATGTTTCCCAAAGTTCATATATTGGAAACTTAATCCCAAACTGTGCTGAGAGGTGGGGTATTTTAAGAGGCAATGATGTCATGTCAGCTCTGCTCACTCTCATGAATGGATCAGTGTCACAAGCAGTCTGGGGTTCATTATTAAAAGAGTGGCATATTGTCAATGACTGAGGTCCCCTTTTGCTTTCTTGTGTGCATTTTCTTTTTCCTTTTTGCTTTCTGCCTTGGGATAACAAAGCAAGAAAGCCCTTGAACGGGTAGAGGCCCCTTGACTTGGACCTACTAGCTTTGATAGCTACAAGAAATAGATCTCTAGAGCTGGGCATGGTGGTGCACGCCTGTAGTCCCAGCACTCAGGAGGCAGAGGCAGGCGGATCTCTGTGAGTTCAAGGCCAGCTTGGTCTACATAGTGAGTTCCAGGTCAGCTGGCGCTACAGGGAGACCCTGCTTCAAAAGACAAGAAAAAAAAAAAAAAGATCTCTGATGGTGGGGTATAGCTCAGTGATTGATTAGCCTGCATAAGACCCTAGGTTCAAGCCCCAACACCAAAAAGAAAAGGATACAAAACAAGCAATCTTTATTTTTTCATAAATTATCTGGACTCAGAAATTCTGCTCTAGTATCACAAATAGATTAAGATAACACTTTCTGCATTTTCTTGTACAACGTTCTCTACAGTAAAATGCAGCCATCTATTTACTAGTCTACATGTTACAAGTTCCTTGAGGTGGTGCCTCAGTTTTTCCTATCTATATTCTTTTTTTCTTACTGGGTAGGACTGTGCTCAGGATATATTATAGGCCTGATTATGTTTATGGAACAAATCAGTGAATTTAGGAGACAGGCAAAACAGACTGGTAAAAGCTTGCTAAGACTTGAAAAGAATGAAAATACTTTATTTGGTGACCTCCCTTTTAAACAAAAAAATTCCATTAAGCAAATTTTTATTGAGTATTACTTGGAATAAAAGGTACACACTGCTCCCTGACTTCTGGAAAGTTCTATTCAGTCAGATAAAGATATTTAGTTAGTTCTTCATAGAGTAGACGTTCTCAAAGTATTTAGAGACCCAAGGGTCTCTAAAGCTGTTTTGGAGGTCTGTGAGGATAAAGCTGTTTATAATAATACTAAGATACTATTTGCCTTTTTCATTTTTATTCTCCTAACAAGTATATAATGGGGTTTCTCAAAGGCAACATGATGTGTGCTATCACAACAAATCAAACACAGACACAGATGGGTAATGCAGCTGTTTTCTGTTAAGTCAGAGCCTAAAGAGATTTGTAAAAATGTAAAAAGAAACCCAAACTATAAAATGTTAAAAGAATTAAAATAGTGCCATTCTCCTCATATATTTTGGAAATTATAAGTTTTAAAAATTAAATATGATTTATGTTAACATGTAATAAGTAATAAGTTATCAATGTGACATGAATTTAAAATATTTAATTTTTTCTCACTTAGTTTTCAGTATGGTTAATATCAGTAAGTATAAATTGTGAATAAGAGACTTTCAGGATGTGCAATAACCTTTAAGAACGTGAGGTTAATGATGGCATAGGTGACTCCAAAATTGCACAACAGTGGGCATGACAGAGGCTAGCACGTACCACTATAGAACTTGGGAGTGTGAATATAGTGAATATAAAAATCTCCACAGATATGGAACCCAGAATCTCCAAGGGTGGAGCCTATAAGCTACACTTAAAGCAAGTTCCTAGGATGGTTCTTTTTCCTTTCCTTGTCAAGACATGGTCTCTCTATGTAGCACAGGCTGGCCTTGAATTATGGAGCCAAGTTAGCTTCGAATCCATGGTCCTCCCACCTTAGTTGCCAGAAAGCAGGAATTTCATGGGAAACCCACCACACCCAGCTTCCTTAGATGATTTTTATATTTGTTCAAGTTTGAAAATCACCTCAAGGGCATTTCAGGTAGAGGGATAGTGTTTAGAATTAATCAGAGCCAGCTTCCTGGCACCTTGAGCACAGAGTTGGGTTTTGAAGCACAGGTTGGGTATTTCCTTGAGGTCAAGGCAGAAAGGAAGTTTAGGCAGAGTAAACAGCATGAACAAAAGCAGGTGGTGGGAATGCATGAAATGACTCTGACAAAGAGCAAGCAGATATTGTTGGCTGCGGTGCATAGGATACTTAGAAGAGAAATTACAAGGGTGGTCGTAGATTTGAGTCTGTGATACTTTATGGAGTCTTACTTTGAAATCTTGCCCACAATACTGAATTCAAAAACAGTAGTGGTATAAAAAAATAAATAAATAAAAATAAAAAATAAAAATTAAAACAACAACAACAACAACAACAACAACAACAACAAAACCCCAGTAAATTCTTGAAAATTCCTACTTAAAATTTTGAGTCAAAAGAACCAGATGAAATAGTCTTTCTGATAACTTATTCCAGCTTAGAATTGGGGAAAATTACAGCAGAAAGATATTGTGAGTGAAAGTCTGGACAACATTTTCAACTGCTATAAAACGGTGCACACTGTACCTTCTAGCTTTTGGATGCGTGCAGCCCTGATATCAAGAAGATGAACATACTGTTCTACTTTGAGTTCATAATCTTGCTGCAAATTCTCCATCTTCTGAGTCACTGCCTCAACTTCCATCTAAAAATAAGAGACAATAAGTTCAGTACTTATGATCAGTCCTAGTTTCATTTTTTTCCAAAGTGACTTTGATTCAAGCATTTTAAGATGGAACTTTAAAGCTACCATGCTATGATTCAAACATTTTCTAGCTGGAATTTTAAAGCTACTATGCTATTTTTCAAGCACTTTCTACAGGGAATTTTCAAAACCACGATTCAAGCGTTTCTGAGAGGGAGTACCAGGAGCTATAAACCATGATGTCCTGATGTCACATAGTTTACAGTTTAGAAAATTGTGTTTGGCAATATTCACAAACTGTAAGTAAAATAATATAGGGCTAAATTCCAGGGATATAGTAATACTTGATAAAGGTGACAACAGATAATAGATTATGAAAGATGATAAACACACTTTCTCAATTTGATATTACCTGATAATCTTTATTAATTTTATGCTGCATAATTAGCATATTTCTTGTCTTTTCAAGTTCTTGAACTGTTTCTGCATGAGTTGCTTGAAGCTCTTTCATGGAACGTTCTAGATCTTTATTGATTTTACTGTCCACTTTCTCTAAAAATGAAAGATCTCCATTTTTTTGTTCTTTTTGGGCCTAAAGCCAAAATAGGTTTTATTACTGAAATAAGAATTTACAAAATGTGATCATCTGTAAGAAACAATCAATTTTCTATTCTCTGATTAGGAACAAAGCAGTCTTAATACATATTTGGATAGAGATTTGGAACAATTACTGAGAAATAAAAAGAGTAAGTTTACTAACTTCATGATATTAAAAAAAAGAAATCACAGACATTTTGATTTTTTCATTTGATCAAATGTACAATATGACACAAAAGGAAAAAGTCTGCTTTCATATTTTTTCTTGAAGATAACACAGTATGTCAGACCTTCTTTTGTATTTATAATTCAATCCTTCACTTCAGAGGGTGTAAACCAGTATCTTATCGCAGAACACTGCTGCTTAGTTTTACAGTTGGTCACATAAAAGTAAAAATGTTTGTTGCAGTTTAAGTGCTTTTTTAAAAATCATTATTTTTTAAAAAATTTTTAATAACTACATGATTAGAAGAAGCATTTCATTACAGCTTTAACGTATTCAGTAATACACTCCAGTACTTTTTAAATAAGAGTTTTGACATCTCTCAATGTAATTTTGATGTCATTACAAAATATGCGTATACTCTAAGTAATTGTCACCTGATCATTTTCCTGAGTCTTAGTACTACATTGGTATGTCTCTCGCACACACACACACACACACACACACACACATGTAGATGCACTGAGTTTTAGAAGATGCACAATAATTCATTCTCCAAATACATGGTTGTCATTATGTTGAAATATGTAGACATGAAATTCATGGCTAATTTTTAAAAGTTACCTTTATAAGCAGGAGAGCTTCACTTAGTTCATCAGCATTAATATCACTCTCCTGTAATACAGAAGGTTAAAGCTCACAATGAGGTATTAGTGGAAAGTTTAAGAGACATCCCTACTGTACTGACTAGTCTAATGGAACATAAGGTGCCTGAGGCCATGAATGTAAATAACCAAGTGCAAAGGACATTCAACTCTTCAGAAGATCTTCACAGCATATGCAACCTGATATGCTAGTTAATAAACCAAGGAATGTACTTGCACTCTCTTTTGTCATATTCTGCATTCTTCTATGCATAAAATATGTAGAAACAAATTTTGAGGTAGGGAGTTGGGTCACCTGGTTGAAAAACTTCATGCGGCTTGTAAGTTCATCAAACTGTTGCTTTTGTTCCAGATACTGTAATTGTAGTTCTCTATTCTCTTGAATGAGTTTTTCATTTTGGTCTTAAAAATAAAGTCAACACAATTAGAAAGGTAAGTGAGAATTAGGTCTAATAACACATTTTCAACTAGTTTAATTCCTGTTACACGCCAAGTTGGTTTTAGCGTGGAAAGGAGACTGAGCCAGTACCTAAACAAAGGCAGCAGGGGGATGAGGAACAAATGAACATGGTCATGTGTCTACCATATGATTCACTTGCTTATCAAAAACTTAAGACTTACGTTCACAGTATTTATACAAGGAAATTGTGGTCTTTGGAACTTGAAAGGAACATTCTATTTAAAATGCCTAAGAATATATGTTTCTAAATATATGATTTTTACTTACTTATTAAGGGTCCTGAAAGACATGCAAAGAAAAAAGTTCTCTTTTAGTGTTTTGATTGCCTTCTCTGAATTTTCTTTTCCTCACTTAGCATAAAGTCTTTGCATTAAAACAAGATAATTTATTGTATAAACACCAAATTCATAATTTAACTCTCATTATAATTCATAATTTAATTCAAGCATACCCTTAACAAATCTGTTCCCACATAGCTGGTACAACGCTGAATCAATAATTCATGTATGCTCTTTATCCACTGGGTTAATGCTATTAACAGGACACTGACTTTTAGTTATCCCTTTTTAAATTTTTTTATCTTTTAGACAGGGTCTCAGTATATAGTCCTGGTGGGCCTGAACTCCCTATGTAGACAGGACTGGCCTTGAACTCACAGGTATTCACCTGATTCTGCCACCTGAGTGCTGGGATTAATGACATTGACTTTCATCTGTCTTTAAGGAAAGGAAATATTTACTGGAGCCTAGGTACTCACTCACCATGACCTGCAAGCAGGACTGTTAAGGAGAGCTGAAGAAGACAGAAATTCACACACCAATTTCTTCTTCTCTGCATTAAACATGTTCAACTTAAAAACAAAAAAAATCCATAATGGCCAGCAAGCAAATCAAGTGCATTCTTTCATGCTGTGTTCTTAAGTGCACTGCCCACTTGACTGCACCACTGCAGCCAGTTTTCCTACTTGTCTCCCTGTGGACTGCCTCTAGACCTTGCCATCCAAAGTGCCTCCATGAACTTTCTAATCTCAACGCTTTATGTTTATTATAAATCCTTAATTCAAGTTGTACATTTTTGTTTCCTTTTCTTAATAAAAAAAATGCAGGGAACACATGTGCCAAGAATTCTTTCCATGGATGCATTTACATTCTGACTGGATTTTATACAAAAATATATTTCTGCCTTTTTCAGGGCTTTGTGTTCCCAAGCTATAAATATTACATACAAGTAAAAATGTTAAATTATACAGTTAAGGAATGAACAAGTTGGATGTTTAATGTCATATATTTCCTGTGAGTCCTTGGATATACAAAGACACAAAGAAATTTTAGTACCAAATATATAAATACCTTTATCCTATTGATAGATGGTTAAAAGGCATACAATGTTTATATCTAGTGAACTAAAAAAATTTCCAAATGTGAAAAACACCTGTAAAATTTGAAGGTAAAGGTCAAATTTTTGTTTCTAAACTAAAAACTAGGATTAATAATAATATGAGTTCTTATGAAATACCATTTTTGGGGGCTGCTTGCATTGATTGGGTTATATAGTAACAACTAGCTAGAATGACAACTAGACAGAACAACAGTAACAACAACAAAAAAGGTAAGTCTGAGAGGAGGTAAAGCACATGTACTGAAAGAGTAATTGGTTTGTTCTGCAGCCAGCAATTCTAGGTTCTAAGACCAAGCTAAGTGTAAAGGCGTACATACTGCTCATCTTAACCCAGACACAGTATATATTTTGATCATCTTTTCTATGCGCTAGCTTTTTTATCCTTTCAAATTTGTAGAAAAGATCTCCTGAGAATGATATGGTAATAGGTACAAATAAAGTTATTAAAAATTTTCCATCCTTTACTCTTCACTTTTGGTTTGACAACTGTGTCCCTATTTGCTGATATTTTAAAATGGTTTTAGTTGTGGAAGAGTAACTTAAAGGGGGAAAACATCACTGAGAATCTGTGAGCTCACTACTGAATTGATATTGAATTACAGATTATATTTTTTCTTTATTAAACTGTTTAATGTGGATGCAACTCTTGGGGCTTTAAAAATATCAAAATGCTATGGTTCAAAGAGGAAATAAGATTTGCTGAATTATTATATGAAAAAAAATCAAAGCAGTCTGTATGAGAAGAAAATTAACGTCCTTACCTTGTGATTTGACAAAAAGCAGGTTAAGTGAAACAGCATTTTATTCAAATAAGATAGCATTTCACTCTTTTAAACTTACATTCTTCCAGCACACCATTAATAAGAGTGCAGAGAACAATTTGACTAAACAATTTTTAGAACTCCTTTGTGCTAATATCTTCAGCTGTGATCAATATAACCATATGCATTATGCTGAATTATGCATTTCAGCTAAAGATAGAAAGGAACTTTCAAAAGCAAGCCCTTAAACACATGCAGTTAATTTAAACATTAACCAAATGCAAACTGCATTTACATATCCTCTACCCCCACCCCGCATATTCACACAATCTGAAACTAATTTGTACCTTGAATAAAGAGGTGAGTATTTTCTAAAAATAATTTGCCAGTTAGATGAATGACTACAGGAAGCCAGGGAAACATCTTTTGGCAAGGAACACTTGATACATGAAAAGGTAAATGTGTGAGGAGAGTTCAAAGTAAAATAAAACTATTTCAAAGTCTGTACCACAAAAGGGGAACTTTCTCAATGTTAAAATCTTTCCTTAAGTAGATAATTTCAGTTTTTTATTTATTTTCCTAAAAAAGCGATTAAAGGCTTTATTTTTCTTGTAACTTATTTTATCTTATTTTCTTATAACAACATTTTTATCAAGAAACAAAACCTTAAATCCTTAGACTTGTAAATTTAAACTATTCAATGAAAACAGCTGGAAAATAACAGTTCTAGCAAATTTTCTTTAGAAAGTAATTAAATAAATGCTGAAGTTTTATGTAGAAAGATGTTGTTTATAATAGTTAAAAATTATTCTTTGAATCGGGCACAGTGGCTCACGCCTTTAATCCCAGCACTCGGGAGGCAGAGGCAGGCAGATCTCTGTGAGTTCAAGGCCAGCCTGGTCTACATAGTGAATCCAGGACAGCTGGGGCTACAGGGAGACCCTGTCTCAAAAAGACCAAAAAAAAAAAAAAAATTCTTTGGAATAATCATCCTAGAGATTGATATATCAGCTGCAGATATCCATATACTGAAAAGTTAACAGGCGTTATAAATCATGATGCCATGGATTTAAACTGATACTACAAAATGATATCTACACAGAGATTAACAACTCTGAAAAGACATCAAATAGAAGTGTAACTTGAGGCTTATACTGAGAGACTTTTAGGCTCTTTTTCATAGTGTACATGAATTATTTTTATTACTTAAGAAAAAAAACTCATGAGATTAAAAAATCAGTATAAAAGATGAGGATGGATTACATGAATTAAAGAATCTTAGCAGTTATAGTATTTGACAATAAGAATTCTCCAAATCAGTGAACAAACTATATAAACAGTTTAAAGAAAAATTAAGATTTTACCCTATGAAGAAAATTCCAGAGAAGAATTTAGAACTTTTGGGGCCTGGAGAGATGGCTCAATGGTTAAGAGCACTGGCTGCTCTTGCAGAGGCCCTGGGTTCGATTCCCAGCACCCACATGTCAGCTAACAACTGTCTGTAACTTCAGTTCCAGAGGATCCGATGCCCTCTTCTGACCTCCACTGACCCTCCATTGCATGACATGGGTACACTTACGTACATGCAGGCAGTACACTCATACACATAATATAAAAATAAATACATCAAGAAAGGTAAAACTTTTGGATTCTTGGTATCTGTGCTGTGTGCATGTGGTTTTGCACATACATGTGTCTTTTTGCCAAAACTAATATTTTATTTATCATTTTTATTATTAAAAAATACTATTATGTGTATGAGTGTATTGCCTACACGTAGATAGAGGCACCATGTCATACAATGCCTGAAGAGGTCAGAAGAGGGTGCTGGAGCCCCTAGAACTGGAGTTATGGACGTTTGCCAGCTACCATGTGGGTGTTGGGAATTGAACCCATGTCCTCTCCAAGAGCAGCCGGTGTTCTTAACTGCTGAGCCATCTCTCTAACCCCCGTTTCCTTTTTCTTTTAAGAATGAGAAATTTTTCTTTTTGGAAAGGGAATGGAAATATAAAGTACTTCTATTTCATCAATGAACAAGAATTTATTGAGCAACTACTAAGACAAAGCACTCTGTTAAGTACTTATCAAAGCACATTAAAATGTGAAATCTACCAGGTCAAAAAACTTGTCATCATTTAATTCATGCAGGATCTTTAGAAAAATTCATCGCCACTTGGTGGATAAGCACTGCCTACTATGCTTCATTGGACTAAGACTCCACTGTGTTCCGATTTTAGGCTTGTTGAAAGTGAAAAATATGCTTATCCACAGTCTTAAAGTATTACTGTGTAATATATGCATTCTGATTTTAGGGATATTAAATGTGAAAAATAATGTTCCTTAAAAATCAATGAATTATGGCCCTGTGCACTAGCTAAAACTATAATTTCCTTACTAAGTCTGTGTTAAACTTCTTTTATATAAGGGGGGTCTTCCTAAAAGCCCAGGCTAGCCTGGAATTTGCAATTCTTCTGTTTTGGCCTCCTGAATACTGGGATTACAGGCATGTGCTGCCATACCTGGCTATATTAAACTTCTTAATATTCTCATGTAACTGAATCTCAAATGTTCCAAAGGAGCAACCTCATTCCCACATTCTTTGGTTTATCTCATGGGTGAGCAAACAGGTACAGCACTTGTATCAAACAATTCATCACTCCCACTGTGTATCTGTGTGTGCCATGTGTACATATCTGTCTGTGTATAATACAGTAGTTCAGACATCTTTAATTACATTTAATTCTATGAGACAAGACCTAATTTGATTATGTTTAATGATTATTATTTTAGCAGGCACATTCTGACGAAGCTTCTTGGTTTACAGAATAGAATTAGATACCACACTGTTGGAGCTTCCCTATTTGATCTATCAAAACCAGCAAGGACGTACACCTCTGCCACCTGCCACTGCTATGGGTTTTTCTTATTATGGCTTTACCTGACACATTATATATTCATCTAATTATTGTTCGCTTCTACTTATTAAATTCATGTTTTATTCTTTGCTGTATTCTTAGAACAGTGCCTGACATATACTGCTGCTTAACACACAACTGTTGACTGTTGATTAAAGAAAACTTCAGAATTATGGATTTAAATTAAAGACAACCGGAATAAAAGTGATCATGAGAAACACGATCCCTTCGCATACATGATGCATCTAATAAAATCACTGAAGTAGATGGCTAGTAATACAGGCTGTGTCCCCAGTGTATAGTAGAGTAACTGGCAAACAGTAGGCACCACAAGTAGTACTGATTGACTCAACAAATAAGTATCAGATGTCTGCACGGGTAAGCTGGCGCTTATTTTCAATGTACCTCTTTCGGTCTTTAATCTGTCAAGGACTTCAGTTTTGTCTGTTAAATCGGACTTTAAGGCAGTCTCGAGCTGAGCAATCTGTACTTTCAGCTGCTGCTCCTTTAACTTCCACTGTTCTTCATGGGCAGCACCGAAGGCACTGCAAAACACACGTGACACGCAAGGAGAGCTGGGAAATCGGCCTCAACCGAAAATAATAAAGAGAAAAGCTTTTAGTGGCACAGAGACCACTGTCATCATGTCTTAGGAATTAAGTAAACATATGCTGGTCTGCTGCTGTTGAAACCAAGGCGCCTTTCTCAGGCTGCGGTTAGGGAACATGAAAGAGTTTGTGGGATGAGCAAAGGAACTGGCCTTAATTTAGAGCTCTAAAGTCAGAAAAGTTGGCAGCATGCAGCGTTTGTGGGACTAGTAAAGGAATTCAAATACTGTACATACTCCAGAGAAATCCACAACTCCAAACCTTAGCAACTGATATCGGACAGGACCATTCTCTTCTACTTACAAGCCCACTCAATACTAAGAAAATGTACTTTCCATCTGATCTTTAATTTTGTGAAACTTCTGAGTCTGTGATAATAACATGCACAAAATGCTGGCCACAAAATGAAAACATACTGAACCACAGGGGAGTAATTCTGATACTAAGAAGTAGTGCTAATGCAGTTTTGTCCTGAAAAGCAAAAAGCAATAGGGTAAGGAAAGTAATTTTATTTGCAATACAGATTTGTACAAACCGAGTGTCCTGTGTGTCTTAAGAATGATGAAGACAGAATTAAAATCAATTCCTCAACAAACACATAGCATACTTTTCTTTTTTTTCTGGGGGGGAGGGGCGGCAGGTCTCAGACACAGGCCAGCTTTGAACTCCCTATGTAATGGAGGATAACCTTTAACTTATCCTCCTGCCTCCATTCCTCTAGGTCTGAGATTATAGGTGTAACCACCACACCTGGTTTAAGCAGGGCTGGGATAGACCCAGGGCTCTGTGCAAGCATTCCACCAATTGAGCTACATCCACAGCCCAAGTAGTTTTTGTTATGGTTTAAATCTGCTAATGATCAAGGCTAAGCATATCAGAAGAAAGCATAGCATAAGGGATAAAAGGTACACAGAGGTGGACAACAACCATTCATTTACCCAGTAGCTCCTGAACACAGTGAACAATCTTGTTACACCAGCCTGCTACACTGACACTGGAGGACATTTAAAAAGGAAGGGTCTGGCAACTGATGTTTCTATAAATCTTCCCAGGTGATAGCCAGGTTTTGGGAAAACTGATCTTGATCTGCATGTCAGCAGAAAACCATTATCTGTGAAGCTTGACATGACTGGAATAATCAGCAACAGCTTTGACCCTTCTACTTACGTTAAACCCTGTAAATGAAGTAAAAACTTATAAAACCTCCTTTTATATGGACGATGAAGTAAATGGAAAAGAGATGTATTATTTAAAATTTCCCTTAATACTGCTACCAACTAGTCTTGAGGTTTGATTCCAAAAGAAATACTTTTGTGGGAGGCATAGGTTTCAGAAGAGCAAAACTGTTCATTCATTTCACATTTTGAACATTTTTATTGTATTTAAAACAACATGACCTTAAAAATAAATGGAATTCTGGAACTCCTCTAAATGACATGTTTCTTCCATCACTGTTCTCATTTCACATATGAAACCTTAAAAAATGCATGGATGATAAGCTAAATTACTTATCAAAGGTACAATTACTTAGTACTTAAATATATAATACATATATTTAAGAATTAAACAGAGACTATTCCTTTGCAAGTTCATTTAAAAATGAAGAACATATACAATTTCTATGTCTAGTCAAATTATATATACCAAACATATATATGCATGAACTTGAGTACATATATGCATGCATATGTGTGTGTGTGTTTCTTCTATTATTAAAAACATGTACCACCCGGAAAAAAATTAGCATGATGAAATAGGCAAAACTATACATTATATCAGATGCCAAAAATTAGAAACAGTAGTGTTCCAATAGCAGTAACAGCAAAAAGATCACCAACAGCTAATCTGGCAGAAGCATCAGAAGCTGTATGTGTTTAAATTAAGAACAATTTAGCAGGCTGGTTTTTCCAAACCCACAAAATACTAGTATAAATCAGCATAAGTCAATCTGAATTTAGTCCACTGTTATCTTCCTCTAAATTTAGGATTGCATTCCACCAGAGTTTCATGAGGAATTCCTTTTGAATTTACTGTATTCCTTTATACTTGGAGCCATCTGTCTAACTATAAATGCTGAACCACATCTGGCTCCATTTTCTTTGTAAGGGCAGTATACATGATTAAATCTGCATATGAGAAAAGTGTTTAAAAACCTTTTATTCATGAAAATGTGTTTGTATATTGCCAACAGTAACAGTAAAGGGAGGATGACTGTCTCTGTACCCATTTCCATAACAGCAGTGATAAATGTCAGCTACAGGAGACTAACTGTTGGTGCCTGTGGTCGCTGGCACACCCACTGGCTGCCTTGGGTACTAGCGTTCTGTTAATACACATCCTTGATCAAAAAACATGATAAGCTCAAAATAAAAGCCAAATAGTTCCTGTCCACCCTCAGCTATTTTCTTTTCTTTTTCATTAAAAAAAAAATTATCAGAAGAAATTCCATTTGCTTCAATGTTCAAGGACTTCCTCATGTAAGAGATGAAAGGATGAAAGAGAATAAACTCCTATCACCCATAAAAAAATCCAAAAAAAACCCATAGGTACTTATTCAGGCAGAATGAAGTGAATAATCACGAAAGCTCTTTTTAAATCTTAAATATTAGATGACTATCACAACACAGAAACTTGATTGGCCTAATTCTTGAAAGGGTTGTTACGATATTCAATATGAACTTTTTTTTTTTAAGAGAACAGCTATTAGATCATCATCTCTTGAGAAATTAATACCTTAAAGTCACTTTCAACAGGGTTTTTGGACCCAACCTTAAACTGATAACATGGAAGTGTACGGTGGTAGTCGTGGTGTGTGAGTGTGTGTGTGCATGCACTAAGTAGAGAGGCTCTGAGAGTGTGGTGAAGCCTATATTTTAACAACTTTTCCAGGTTATTTGTATACACTATTGTTGAGAGATTGCTGTATTTCATTAGTTTATGAGATCACCAAACTAGACTAATCTCAAAAATGAAACATAGCCTTACAGAATTATTGTATGAAGCCTCTCTCTGAGCAAATAGGAAGATTTAATAATAAAAAAATTATTCTGAACTCTTTCTTCTTCTTCTTCTTCTTCTTCTTCTTCTTCTTCTTCTTTTCTTCTTCTTCTTTTCTCTCTCTCTCTCTCTCTCTCTCTTTTTTAAAGACAGGGTCTCATCATGTAACTCTTGCTGGTCTTGAACTCACAGAGATCTGCCTGTCTCTACCTCCCAAGTACTGGGATTAAAGGTGTGTGCTACTATGCAGGGCCTATTCTGAACTGTTAAACTGGACATTTCTTCAAGTTCTTACTGCTTAGTATTGTTTCAAAAATGTTTATCATATTAAAAAAGGATCATACCAAGTACTAACATGAGGGTTTTTATCTTACCATGTAATTTTCTAATATATGTCAAGTAATAAGCACATTCAAAATTTCATTTGTGAAAGATGAGAATGCAATCTGAAAATCATTGTTTTCTTCTGAAAACCAGCCAATGTTGAATAACAAACAAATGCTCTCCATTTTAAGATGTGCTATCATCATGACTAACCAAAGAAGGAGTACCTGTAGTTTTGATGAACATTAATTGTTGGCAATGATGGATAACAGTACAATGAAAGAAAAGAGCTGTAAAGAACCCAGGGACAATGGGTGATGCTTGTAGTTTCTCTAACTATGCTTCTGAAAACATTTAAAAATTCTTCAGAGAATTTTGTAGTTCTACTTCCTATTACGTAGACTTGTCGGGCTTAGCTCTAAGTGTCACCGATTTTTTTGGACACTCATTACAGTCATTTACTTCCACACATCTCATAAAATATAAGCGTAAACAGCATAGTAAATTCTGTTTTTGGTGTGATGGGAAAAAATGTAGCTCAAGCCCAAAATATTAAAAAAATAATAAAACAAAAAACTTAAACTAAAACCTTCAAACCCAGATTTATACTCTTAGATCATCTTCTAATACGGAAAGATAAAGTTTTATGGTGATTAAGTAAATATGAGAAAAATATGCCTTGTCAAAATTCCATTTATATATTATTCCCAGCTAACGCTAATGTTTCTTATTCCAAAAAACTATGTTGACTAAATTCTCAAGTTGGAAAGAAGTAGAGAACTCAGAAGTAATGTCCAAATGACACCTGCTTTTTGTATTTAGACCATGCTAAAGGATTTGAGGTTACAAGATGAGTATGAATCAATCAGAACTTCTGTGTGACACGTCCCCCATTTCATGGGTGCACCCCTTTCCCACAGATAGCTTTCAAATGCATTAAAATTGGAAACAGTGAAACACTGGGGAAAAGATTCATGTTTTAGAGTCAAAAGAATTGAGTTCAATCTTATATTGATAGCCCAGCAGTGATGTGCAACCCCACCCAAATTTGTTCATTTTTCTGGTGGCTCAGTTACTGCCTTTATAAAGGGTATTGTGCAATCTGTAAAATGACATTTGAATTTTTCAAACATGGAGTTAAAAAGTTAAATATGGATTTATAGCTTAGATCAGTATTTTCTGAGATTTCAGTGTATTATCAATAAGAAGCAATGGCTGAATATCACCTATATCATACATTTAAATATATTTTAAAATTGCTTTCATGTTTTCCTGTATTTATCACTATATATAATAAAAAGAGTTTAACAATTCCACATATACACAACTACATACAGTGATAGCAGCACAGCTTAACCAGACTTAGCCATGGAGCAGAATTTTGTTTCAAACATTACCAGAAGGGGTTATTTTCTAAAATACCCCATTTATGAAACATATTAACTGAAACTGAAGTAATTTTTTTTTTTAATCTTGAGTCAAGATTCCTGTTTTTCTCTTTATAAGGAACACAGATAATTGTAAGTGAACATCTTTCTTTTCCTTTACCACATTGATTTGTGACTAAAAAGCTGATAAGCCCAGTGGCAAGACCAAAAGCAGTGCAGAGTTCTTTACATCTTCAAAATCCTTCAGAATTTCCAGAACATGAAATAATTCAAAGATTGCTTTATTTTCCTTGTCTGCAACCTGAGCATATACAATACTTACATTCCAAAGTGTGATGAGGAATTTATGAAAGTGGATGGAGAGCATCCAGCACAGCATCTGCTAGCCTAAAGTTATATTTAACAAGTAACCAACCTGTTGCCAGTTTGTTACTGGCAACAAAGCAATCTGGTTCTTTGAGTGGTGAGAGAATACCACCCAGGTTAAAAACTTATTAACACTGCCTTAGAAAAAGCTTACATTTTTAAAAATAAGGTAAGCATATTTCTTGCCACAATCTGTTGCTGATTAATCAATATTAGATATTCTGAAAACAAATGCTTTGATTAAAAAACAGCTCAAACAAACGAACGAAACACATGGAATCATGATTTACCTGTTATAAAGTTTATCATAGTTTTCCTTTAAAAGTTCTCGTTCCTTTTCTAAATCATTAATTCTATCCTGCAGCTAAAATGAAAATAAAATTACAAAGAGTTTCCATGGTATAGTGGTTAGCACTCTAGACTGAAAACAAAATTACACATTAGGTGATTGTCATATCAAGCACACAGGGGTGAATCATGAGAGTGCAGCAGCACATTCAGACTTGGTTTCTACAATGCAGCTGCTCACTGGACCACATACAATGTCTGTATTCAATTCAGTGTTGATTTTTGTCCACATTGTTAAGTAAACATAAAATTAATATTCCTGTTTTAATTTAGTAGAAACGTATGCACTACTTTATGGCAACATGTGCCAGAACTCAATAAAGAATGTGTTACAAGCTTTCTGTTAAGTCCCTAGAAACATAATATTTTTTATTTTCTATCACGATGAATTTCATCATTATATTCATTTTGTATTAATTTCCAATTGGCCTATAAAAAACAAGAGGATTAAGTTTTCTTTGAGTTCATGAGGACAAACAAGTTTGCTAATCACTATTTAATCTAAAGACACAATTTCTCATGTTACCTGGAATTGACAAATAGTAGCACATCTTATGAATAAATACAGTAACATTCCCTATTTTATCCCAGTGAATATTTTCAGGAATAAGCAGAATAATCATTAGATTTTTTTATGATTAAAATATGGATTGCTATACTCCAGTATTTAGGATTTTATTTATAAATATGTTTTGCAGTCACAGTTTTTTTTTTTTAATCCCCCATGGAGCAGAGTACTTAAAATTCAACTCTACTCTCAAAATTCTCTTTTGATGCCAGTAAAAAACAGGAAAAGCTTCTCCTGAGTGCAGAACAGAATGTAAGGCTTTTATTCCATTTCTCTTCTCTGTAGGAAGTAGTTAGACTACAGGAAAAACTGTGCTAGTTGGGAAATAGGAGGAACAGTAACAATAGGTTAAGTTTTCAAATAAATTCCCAGGGAAAAAAAAGAATTTCACAAAACTGCTGACATTGTAGAACATAACATCTTCTCCTCAGAAACATGTATTCCTATAATTTCATTTTGTACCTCAAATGACTAATAAGCTGTCATATTTAAGAAAGTTAAGTTCTCTAGGTAATTTGATATCACATGTTATTTTTCATTTTACTCAAGGATCTTTAATCCTTTAGATAGCAGTGATCTCGGCACATTCACAAGTTAGTTCCTAGCATTAGCTTGCCACTCATATCTTGTATTAGCCACTCTATTTTGTTGCATTCAAGATGCCATAGATGTAGTTGAGAATTCTGAAATAAATATTGAAATGTTTCTATTTTACTTTTTCAAAAACCTTTACAGAGAAGTTTTAATACAACAGATGACTAAAACTTTTGGGCTTACCTCCTCTATTCTTCTTTCAGAGAATGTCATAGAATGTAACTGCTTCTCAAGGCTGCAGCATTTTAAACGCTGCTCTTTGAGTTGCATATTTAGTTCATCTCCATTTGCCATCAAGGCATCATGGCTGATCCTGAGAGTTCTCTGCTTCTGAAAAACAAGAGGTGGAATTTAAGCATCATTTTTAGATTATGCTTTGAATAAAAAATTACAAGCCTACACATGAATTTACCCTTGATGTTTACATTATACAGTTTACTCTTCTTATTCTAATTATTGGTAGGAGATATTCTTAACCCAAGTGTGACACCAGGAAGAAAAGAGAAGGCTATCTTAGCAGTCACATAAAGCAAACTATTTTCCTCCTTCATTAGTTTCTAGCTTTTGACTTCCTGACAGTGACAAATAAGTGGGTTTTAGGAATTAATCCCCTCTCCTTTTTACTTATGGTTATAGTGGCTAGACATGCTGTCTAAAAATGCTTCAGCATGGGTCAAAATGCTGATCACTGATACTAAAACTGAAAGGATTTGCCATCAGACTATAAATAAACAACTTGGATGGTTAGCTTTTAATTTTAATACAAGTAAAATTTTCAATTCAGCAAAATAGTTATACTCTTCTTAAATAAAAAATGTTTATATGTTTTGAATTAAATTTTATATACTTAAATATCAGAGACTTCTAAATATAAATAAAATGGGTAATTATAGTGAGGTCTTGTCATAGATACCATATGATCATGAAACGTCTCACCTGCTTAAGTCCCACTGAAGTTTTTCTTAGCTCATTTAAAAGAAATCCGACTTAAACAACTTATGGCTAATTTTCATTTAACATTCTTGCATTATTATAGAATGCTACCTTTAGTAAGTTTCATTTGGGCTTCCCACGTCATTGAGGCAGTTGGCTTTAACCACTCAAGCCCTTATGCCAATTCCCCCAAATTGACCATTTTTACTACTAGTATTTGAACAAATACCTGGGGTCAAGTTACATGGGAATCAAGCCAGTAAACGAGTAAGAGAATGTAGAATCATATTTCAATTCCTCTTGATTCCTCATTTTAGAAATTGCTTTTGCATGCATGTATTTTTAATTAAAAGGGACCCTCTATCTGTACACAGATAATGATATCATTCCCACTCAAGAGAACAAAACAACAATCCTCCCCCCATCCCAACTCCTCTTGCAGGAATTTGCACAGTTATTTGGAAGGTGGTTATACTTGGCATTCAAGAAGGCCCCTGTAGGATGGAAACGATCATATAGAGTATGGCTGAAAAACATTTAATTCCATAGTGAACCAGGCCTCCTATGACCTTATACTTTACATCAATGTACAGATTTCCTTGTCTCAGTACTTCAAAGAAAACATTGCTCAATATAAACTCTGATCATCTGGAATGTTTTGGAGTTCATTAATTCCAGGACTTCTGTTAATTATGCAATGTCAATGAATAGGAGCCTTCTGATGGCACATTCCTGTACATCCACAGTCACTTGAAAACAATCCCAAGGATGAGGACTCTTAATATTGTCAGACTGAATTGTTAAGGCATAAAATAAATATATTGATAACTACATTATGGGCACTCAAATATTTTCTGATAATGGTGGTGAGCAAAGAAATCCAAAATAAAACAAAATAAAACTCACATTAAAGGAACATAATTATTGACTTGTTCAAAACTCTGGTGTTTGTTATTATACACACATAAGAAAGTGAAGCTGTGTGCAAGTAGAGAGGCCTTCACTGCTGGGGCCCAAAGTGAATTTTGAGAAAAGGATTTAAAAGTATATGTGCACGTTATGAGATGATTTATGACAGATGTGCTATGAAGATGACTTACATATTTTAAGATGCCTAAGTGGTTCATTATTTTTAGTAATTGTTATGAACAATATAGTAAGAGAAATTATATACTCTTAATAGGACAATACTTAAAAATTACTTTTAATGTGAAGATCATTCTTAAAAGTACAACTTCCTTTTTTGTATCATTTTTTCTCTGAATAAATAGAGTATCACAGTACCTCTTGAAGCTGAATAAATTTTCCTTCCATCACTGAAAGAGCATTACTTTTCTCCACTAGTTGCTTATGAAGCTTAATCATTTCTACATTTTCCCGAATATTTGACCTGCAAAGTATATTTAAGAAAAAGACAAAAATCAAAAAATTCAAGTTAAAGAGAAAAAAAGCCACAACAACAACAACAAAAATCCATGGTTGATTCATTTGTGTATCACAAAGTCACCAAAGATTTTAGATTATAATCTACAACAGATTATTTAAAAACCAACCAATATCCATTCTCGAATGAGTATAAAGAGACTCTCTTGAGCTTGAAAGGATCTCCCAAACTAGATAAGGTTAGTTTTATAATTCATAACGTGTCTGTGCTATCATTCATTTTAGAGTGTACTGAAAAACTGCACAAAAGACATGAAATTTTAGCATATCCATCAGCAAACTTTACATTTATTTAAAGAAGGTCTATTCTGCTACCTTTCCTATGCAACACAGCCATTCATCTTTCTACGACATCCTTGAAGCACATACTATCATAAGATTATCATTTATTGGAGTTTCCTCTTAGAGTTTAAAGTTTTCAAAATATTTCCAAAAAAAGTGACTTAGTATTTTATACTAATAATGCCCAAAGCTGGCATTTAAATATGTTGCAGATGTGCCTTTAGCTGTAAGAGCGTATTTGATGTCCACAGGGTATATAGAAACCCTATATGCTGCAATACTATTTTGTATTTTTCCTACTGAGATTAAAGCAAATGTAGAATTTAACAGGAAGATCTTGTTAAAGGTTAATCATAGATCTAAATGAATACCTTTTCAAAAGGCATTTATTTTCCTGACAAAAAAGATTCCTTAATTTAATGCCATACATTTAAAAACAGTTTTTAAATTGTGAAGCTTGATTTTATGACTTCACTTTAAAAGAGATATAAATGCAAAAATCTTAAATGTAGAAAATTATTTCAGTATTTAAAGTAAGTAATTTTGCTTCTAAAATTTACCTACTATACACATATTGGAAAAATTGTCACAATGCCCTACTGAAACCAGCAAATGGACTACAAAGCTCACACATCTGTAAACCAGCTGAGGACTTGAAATACTTAATTTTCCTCTTTGATATTTGAAAGTTTATTGTATTTTGGCATTGGACAGTTAGTTGTCCTCACATAGAAGATAAACAAGTCCAAGAACCTGGATCTTTCCCAGGGTATGGCCTTAATGCAATGTTAAAATAATTGTGTCCAAAACATGTTATCTAGCAGTACTAAGCACAGAGTCAGCAGTACTCACACCGCTGTTTCCCTCATTTACATTTGTTCATTAAAAACATAATATGAAGAAATATATTTTAAATAAAATTTAAAATATTTAAATTCCTTTTTATTCTATATATGAAAAAATATTTTGAAGCCAAAATACAATTTACTTGTTTTCCCCAGAATTAGTTGGTTTAGTCACTCAGTAATGAGTAGCAGCTACTGATATGGAATGACAGATTGTGGCTCAAAAATTTAAACTCTTTGTTATATTTTTGGTTGTCTCAGTTCTTTGTTCTTTTTTGGGGGGTGGTGCACTGGGGATCCAACTTACTGTCTCTGATATTTTGTTTTAAAACAAAATTCCAAGAAGAATTAAATATATTTTTAAAAATAACTATAGCTTAATGTTTAAAAGTAAGTAATTAAATTTCAAAAATTGATGCAGTCACATGGGATTATAGAAATAACAGCTTTAATTCAGAATTTTCTTTGTAAGGCAAAGGAGCGCAAGTGTATTAAAAAAATTCCAGCAGGTTAATTGGTGGACGTTCTATTGAGTATTTTCCTGAACTCCTTGCAGTTTAGACTTTGCAAAATATTGGTAAGAAAAGTGACAAAGTATTTTATAATGACCAACAGTGGACACAATACAGCATAACTGTATTCAAAATAGCAACAACAATGCGGCAATTCAAGTACAGTCTGGAGGTTGGAGAGATGTCTCAGTGGTTAAAACACTTGCTGCTCTTATAGAGGACCCGGTAGAGGACTTGAGCTCTCTGCTCCCTGCATCTAACTCCAGCTCCAAGGGATCAGATTGCCCTCTTTGGGCTTCTGTGGGCTCCTCCCATTCCAACATAGATACAGACATAGACAGACATAGACACACAGATGAGAAAAAGAGTGGAGCGGGGGGAAGAGAGAGGGAAAATCTTAAAAACAAAAGTCAGTCTGCTACAGAGAATACCTGTTCTGGACAATGTAAGACCTCCAAATTCATCTGAGGGATGTGGCATGTAGTAGTTCCTGTTATTATTATGATTACATTTTTGGAGGATAATACTCAGAAGAGGATAATTTGTCAGTTCAAAGTGCTAGTCAGAGATATAAAGTAGAGCCAAGTTAAAATCAGCAACGTAGCCAGGCGTGGTGGCGCATGCCTTTAATCCCAGCACTTGGGAGACAGAGGAAGGTGGATCTTTGTGAGTTCGAGGCCAGCCTGGTCTATATAGTCAGTTCCAGGACAGCTGGGGGGAAAAAGAAGACAAAAATCAGCAATGTAGTATTTGTGGTATGGTATTTAAGGTGTACAGTGAAATCACCTCAAACCTGATCACCAACTCAACATTTTTATACAGGTGAACGATGTGAAAAGAATAAGGATAGAGATGTTACGAAGAGAATGAGGGATGCCTCAAAAGGCTGATAAGGGTGTTGGCGGCAAGAGGGAGCTATATGCATTACTAAATGTCCAGTCCTAGAAGTAGATGCCTATGGAACAAAGTCACAAGTTGGCTTCCTTTGAAGAAGCGCTAAAAGGTAATGCATTTGTAATATTTAAGAGATGTCTATGATGTTTTCTGCCTTTTTAATATAGGACATAATATAGGACTATCAAATCTTCAGGATGGTGATGTTCTAGTAGAAAGAACAATACATGGGCAGTATTCAGAGGCACTCTTGACTGTCATGCAACACTTTGTATGTGCTGTATTACATGTGATATATTTCACGTGGTGAAACAATCTGCAAACATATCAAGCACACTAATTAAATGCTCTTTAAAAAATAAACTTCTCAAAAATTTCAACAAGGATTTTGAAAAAAAATATAAACAAGTTGGAAAATGTAGTGACTTTATTTTCCTTTTTTGTTCTCCTTTTTTTACAGACATGATTTAGAATTAGGATCAGATCTTCTGAAACTGTGAGATGAGTTGTTGGCTCATCTCTAGATTAAAAACAAACTGAAATAAATTAGACTTTATGTTGAAAACAGTAATCCAGCTCAACAACCTGTGTGCCAAGTTTCTCTCCTATAATTTGAAACAGTCAAGCTATAAACTCTGAAAAAGGAATTTCTACTGGAAGTCTTGAAAACACTTGACTCCAGCTCTGCTACTGGGTGCCATAATAAATCTGGAAACTTAAAACCTCAGCTACACTGGAGAAGGAAAAACTTGCAGTGGAGATATGTAATATATGGTCTAATATGAAAGCTTAAGAAGCAAAAATCTTTGCTTTGGTGAAAGTTTCATATATTTTATGAACTAAAAACTCTAAACACTCAACTTTCCTCCTCTATCCCCACCAAAATTTCATTTCTTCGCTTGCAGTAAGGGTTATGAAAGTTACAAGAAGCCTTTCACTTTTGGAGAGCAAAATGTCACAGTATGTAACACCAACTATAGAGGAGAAGAGGCTCTATCACACAGAAGCTATGTTGTGAGATTCGGGATGCAGTTAGGCCAAACATTTATGAGACAATGGTGAAGATCTCTTTGAGTTTAAGGTTGGCTAACCCTAAGGGATAAGGCTGAAAATAATCTTAGGGTTAAAAAAGGTTTTTTGATTTTTTTGGTTTTTTTTTGAGACAAAGTCTCCCTGTAGCTCCAGCTGGCCTGAAACTCAGTATGTAGACCAGGCTGGCATCCATCCTACAGACATCTGCCTGCCTCTGCCTCTCCAGTGCTGGGATTAAAAGTAAAGGTATTCACTACCACATCTGGCATCAATTTTCTTTTTAAACAGTAGTAGATGCTTGGTGAAAGAAATTTAAGTCACTGATAGGCAGAAAAGACTACCAGCGAGGATCTTCTGAAGAGGACCATAAAAGGCTGCTAGAAAATACAGTGCAGTAACTTTCACTTTCCACCAAGAGTAGATATGAAAAGTAATGGGTTTGCTTAAAATTGCTACTTGAGATCATGGGTCCAAATGGCTCCCTGAGTTAAGATTGCATAAAGGAAAAATATGTATATGTTCATTTGCTAATAGCACAACTTTCTTGGTGTTGGGTCAAACTGTAAATCACAACTCAGTTATTTTCTTAGTGTCACCATCCACAGGAACAGAGAGGACAGATCTGTCAGGCTTTCTGTATGTATGTAACCATATTTGTATGAAGAGAAAGGACACTCTCCAGTGCTGACTTAGGGTTAGAGTAACCTAAATCCTAGTTTACCTTCTTAGAGATGACCACGTTTAGGATCAAGTTTAATAGGCTTTAGTTGGAGATTTATTGTAATAGAAATGGGAATTTGGGACTTTTAGCTAATATTTTCAAAAGCCCAGTGGGAAATGTACTTTTACTGGCTATTAACCTTGCAAAAGTGAACTAATATACATATTATATATGTACACACACACACACACACTCACACACATAAAATTACTCCAATCCAGTTTAAGAACAGGTTATTTCACAATGATCAGGTAGAATGAATGGAATGATACAAGTCAGTGATAAATATAAAATGAGAAAATTAAGTTAAGAAATATAGATTATTGTGAAGGCAAATCTTTTAGAAATATTAGGTCCTTAGGGAATACATGACATGCTCACAAAGTAGAGACCAGAACCATCCATCCCTTTCTATCTATTCATTTACAGCTCAGATAGCTGAGTGAGACTCAGAGAAATGGTTTAACCAGCGTCCTAAGTGATTGAATCAACATTCAAATCTAGCTAAAATTTTAAAAACTTATATTTATGTGTATGAAGGTTTTACCTGTATGTATATAAGTGTACCACATGTGTGCAATGACTGCAGAGGCCAGAAGAAGACATCAGATTCCCTGGAATTGGAGTTACAGATGACTGTTGGGTGGTTGATGGGAACTGA